CTTGAGATGGATGGATGGATACCCGAGAATTCTATGTAATTTATTGATAATGTTGTGTTTTTTTATTTTGTTTTTTGTTTTTTCAGGAAGTAAGGAAGATAGGAAAGAATGAAGGAAGGAATGAGAGAAGGAGAGAGGGAGAGTTCTAGGCATGGGAGATGGATGGAATGGAATGAGTGACTGAGTAGTTATCAAATGAACAAGAATTTAAATTTAAATTATGAGAATATTTTTGGTTTTATTGGGCAACCTGTAATTGGCTGTGGATTGAATAATCTACAATCTTGAATAATAGTGACTTCATAAGGGTATGTGGTATGTGTGTATACTGCGGTGTGGTTTATAATATATATATAGTCTGTAATGATCTTCACCCTTCAACCAACCCCGCGTCTTTCTACCCGTCCACCCCGCGGCATACCTACTATCTCTCTCTGTGTGTCCGTCTCTCTCTCTCTCATAATCTAAAATACCTCATAGTTGAATTCATCTACCTACCCACCAATCCACCTACCCATCCATCTACGCATCACTCATATACACATCAAAATCTCAAATCATCACTCCTCTTAATTTCATCATTTCAAATAAAGTAAAGTAAGTAAATAATAAGTTCGATTCTCGCTTGATCAAAAGGAGTAATTAAGTAACCTGGATGGCTGAAAGCTAGCTATACTACGTATGTATGTATGGTATGCTGTACTAGTTTAATTTAATCTAAATCTGATTGCACCAAAACGCCTCGCCAAATGCTTATATCAAGTTTGCGTGCTTAAAAACTAGAAACTTTTGCATGTTCTGTTGAAACTTTCCTCCGGAATAGGTATCATGTTAACCGTGTTTGGTGTCTAGGTTCTGGACAAAATCTGCTACGGCTTCAAAATATCCGATTTCGACGACGCTGGAATTATGGTCACCGCCAGGAAGAGGTTTCCATATTTTGGTCGGTGATTGACAGATCTCGAAAAGGCGGCGCATGTGGCTAGGTCTATTATTTGAAGAGTTAGTGGAAGGGTATCTGGTGATTTTATGGGTTATGAAAATAATGTGTGTTGATGTAGTCAGACAAAAAGTTCTCGTGATTTGTAATCTGGTCCCAGAAGGGACATCATGTTTTGTGGATGGAAATTGGGTCATCATTCTAGAGGATGGTGTAGAGGAGGAGGAAATTGAAGAAAACATACGGTACAATCTCATCCAGGAGACCACTAATAAAGAGGATAGGAACTTCGGTAATGGAGGGTAGGTATGTATCAGATGCCCAGACTTGATGACATAGATAAGTGAGATATCTAGCTGGTGGAATGACCCTTTGAGACATTAGTGCTTGATCAAAGTGGTGTAGTAAACATAACGTACGATGGTATCAACTTTCTCATGGATAGAAAAGTATTTTCCAATACTAGACCCACTAATCTTTTGTCGTTTTGATTCTTAGCCACCAATTGTATTGATACGGCACCTCCAAGACTCTGTCCGTAAACCACAATATCATTATCTCTCGTCTCTGCTCTTTTGCGAAGATAGTCAAACCCAGTCTGAGCATCTATCATGAGACCTTTCTCATCCGGTGATCCAGTTGAGAGACCATAACCCCGGTACTCCAACATTAAGACACTACATCCCACAATGTTTATGAATCGTCTCGCGATAGGAATTCGATGACCGATATTCCCGGCATTGCCATGAAACATGAGCATTGTGACATTCTTTCTCTTCCTCGACTGCGGTGCTCGAATATAGAATGCTGAAAGCTTTTCCTCATCAGGCGTAGGGATCATCAACTCCTCGAAATCCGATATGCCAAATTGTGAGGGGTCGTGGGACTTGAGTGCGGGCGGCATTTGGGATGGAACTTGGATAAATCAAGGGATCTAAAGATTGAAACAACATGTTGATCAGTATTTTATTGTTTGATAAGCATGGTTGGGGGGTGATTTCTGTTGTGGGGTGGGCGATGTGGATGTGATGTGATGTGGTGTGGTGATGGAAAAAGAAAAGCTGGGAAAGTGGATTAATAAAGGGGAGGGGAAATACTTTTGCTTGAAGTAAAGAAGGGAACTTAATAAAAAAGTTATACCCTGTTAGAAAATGGTAAGTACAATGACAAGCGCGGCACAATTGACCATCAGATATTTCCCAAGATTTTCTTTTTCCTTTTCACAAGAAAGATGAAGATAGATGAATTGGAATTGGAATTGAAATTGGAATTGTGTGAAAGAAAATGTACCGATGACACAAGGACAGGAAATTTGAGGTAACCTGCGATAGAACTGGTAACAGTAGTTACCTGTTCAAAATAACCTGCACCAGATGAATCTTGTGCAGACATGATGGATGTCTTCAAAAGATAAAGGCGGAGGGAGGATAAGATAGATGGGGTAGGATTGAGCTTTTAAGGATAAATAAAGCAGCCAGATGTCGATATCTCTCTCTGTTTATCTCTCCTCCAATCGAAATGAGTGAGCTATGGTGGTGGATGTGTCGTGACGGGAAGGGAGAGAATCAAAGTATTAATTAGAATATTAAAATATTAATTAGTGTTTCATGGTACTCGACACCGTTTGAAGATATCTCGAAAAAAGGATTAAAAAAAGGCCGTGGATGAATTGAAATTGATGCGGTTGGATTTTACTTTGAGTTAACTCGATCGGTCTCGTGAAGAATAAAATGGGCAGACGACTATCTATTTGTTGAGGAGGTTCGAAAAGTGGTGTATGGTGAAAGTGAAGTATGAAGTCTGGGTGTGTGGACGGACTGTTGGACTGATGGACCGTTGAATCTTTTAGAGAGGCCGACTCAAACGAGCAAAACGAGCAAACCTCCAAAAAGACCAAACATCCGAAATCCCATTGACCGCTAAAAGATTAATATTAATATCAAAGTTCAAAAGGTTGTCTTAGAATTTCAAGGAGTGCAAAATCATCCAAATCCTTCCGATTTTCATTCCGTATCCGTCAGTCTAGAAGATTGATTTAATTGGTTGATAATCCATCAAATTGGAGCTTAATTGCGGATGGATATCTAGATGTTGAAGGCTTGGTCACTCGCATTATATGATGGCGTTATTATTATAACTAAACTTACCTACCAACAAACTACTCTGTACATAGTATGGAAGATCTTACATCTATCTAGATCTATTTTGGTTCATAATTGCGGCATGCTGCGAGTAATTCGAACGCAATCTTCGGATATCAGGAAAACCTTAATCTGCTAATCATAAGTTGAGAAGTCCATACTACGTACAGTATCTATACATTTGTAAAGTTAGGTATCAACTAAAGGCTGACTGCCTATAGCTAGCTACAAGTAAGGAAGGAAATCGTGGCTATCACAACATCAAATCATCATCAAATCATCATCATCACGGCAGAATGAATGTAAGTAATCTAGATGAAGGGGGAAGGAATCGGAGGTTAGAACGGAGAATTCGGAAAAGACGTCTCTCCTTTAATCGGATCAAGGAGGTGGAACGGACTATAATATATCTCACTTCCCTATGTGTCGCACAAATGACAGTCTTCTCGTACAATATCATGTTGTCGTGATTAGATTGTATCTGGGTGGGAGATGCATTGATGGGTGTACACGATATGGTGGTGATACAGCTATTAAGTCATATTTTGGGCCACTATCTGGACAAAACACAACTTGAGATAAGTAGCAAGGGTTATGAGTTGAGTACGGAGTAAGGAAGGGTATGTATGTGATTCGTGTTTGGGGGCGTTTCAAAGGCATTTATCCAAGATGATACACATTATTTTCGGATAGTTCCTTTATGGGGAGAATCCAGGCTCAGATCATAGTAGATCATTGAGGATATATTCCGCTTTTCTCTTTTGTGGTCAGTCTCCCTCATTTTCTCGCCAATATCCTTTCCCATAACGAAACCTACGATAGAGGAATTTGTACCATGACTAGAACACCCGATCTCACGTTTCTTTCTTCCATTTTCAATACTACAGAATGAATTGAGGTTCCAACCATCGAAAAACCCAATCAACATGTATCGGTACCTTAAAAGATCGAAAGATCAAGTAAAGGGACCATCCAATGAAGAATATCCTACGGAACCAACTTGATCAAAAGTAGATGCGGCGGCTGTACCTAAGGTAAGGTAGATTCGATACCATGCCCAATAATGAGAATAATCACATAATGAATGGTACATAAGACGACCCAATGATACCTCTTCTCGTATGAAGATATTTTCCCCCTATGAAATTGACGCCCAAAGCTAGAAAATTTTTATATTTTTATTTTTAATAGAAATTATTTTTCCGATTTTCAATATTCTGTTGTATTGTATTGTATTGTAAACATTCCTCTGTGAAATTTGAATTGCTTGTTGCTTGTGTGTTTAGCCCCCAACATAAGTGGTTCGAAGCAA